AGGCAATCGACACAACAGGAGACTGACAGACATAATCACAAGCCAAACCTGCAACCTCAGGACACAGCAGGACTCAGTTCTAGACTCAGGCTTTTGAACTCTCAGGGAATAGCTGGAAAGGTGAAAATTACTATTATCAACTTATCTTCCTTCTCGCTCCTTCAAAACTAGCATTATCCATATATCTGAACACAGAAACTATACAAGGTTTTGATATTGTGGGAGTTTGGCACCTGGTAGTACTGGTCCCACTGTCTTCTGGAACTGTCATCTGACAGTTAACTTAAATCATGTCATACCCAGTGTCTGTACATTTGTTTGCATATACCAATTAGAATTTATATAACCCTTAACTATATTGTAAAAGAAAGTTCATCCACAAAATATCCATCAGCACAGCTTAATAAACAGTCTTATCTTACATTAGGCTTCCCCTCTTTCCTATTCAACATATGGTTTCACTTTGAAAGAGGAGACTTACAATAAACTGTATCATCAGTAGGCTGATAAATGCTGTAATTCATAACAGGATGTCTGTTCGAGGAAGATTTCCCATGCTTAGTGAATGCTTAATTGCTTTCTAAAATACTAACTTTTGTTATATATTTCAACACTGAGTACTGTATATAGGAAAAGAAATTATGGTTCTTGCCCATCTCTCCAACAATTTTAGCTTTTCATTTATTTTACATGTATATGCTGGTTTGGATATTTAACAAAGATGCTAACCTCAAGATTCTTTGTACTTAAGAGACAAACAGGAGCTTAGTTCTATCTCAGTGGCCCGGGGTTTACTGCTGTTGAAATGGGTCACATGAGAAGTTCTGAACAGTGTAACTTACATTTCACAGCACAAGTGTGGTGGGATCACCAGGTTCCACAGTGGGTGCTGGATGGTTCCTGAAAACCTACTGGCCCAGATGAAGACTTGGGCTGCTTGGACATCAGCTGAGGTACAGAGATGACAGAGACCCTTGAGGTTTTTGAGGTTCCTTGTGACTTTTTTTGGGTCTTTCTTTCTTTTGTGAAGTGATAAAACTGGACATCATTGTTATACATACAGTTTCCACTTGAACCATCCGTCTTTTGCCCAGGCCGTGAAACAGACCACACTGCAGTGAGATTATCTGTCTGCGTGTGGTACTTCTGGATGTATCTAAATAGCCCCCAGAAGAGCCAAACGACACAAATCTTCAAATTAACAAGGCTAGTACAGGTGCTTTGGTCTTGTAGACATGAGTCTGCAAAGAAACGCTCCCAGAAGACTCTGCTCAGGTAAGACATACATGGAGTGGCATGAAGGCTAAGAATGTTGTAGGGCTTGGAGTCTGTCTGGTGAAGCACTGCCTGACCTGTGAACATGGGAAAGGATTAAGGTCGTATCGACATGCTGATGTGGGAGGTTTATGACTAAGTTAATCATTCTATTTAAAATGCAAACTTGCACCCATCAGAAAAGCACACAAAGGGGCCACTAGTAGTGCCTGGAGCCAGAAAGTTCCAGGTTCTGCCCTCACAGGGCAGCTGGTAAAGACAGATTCTGAAAATGGAACAGATGCAAGGCAGGAGACAGTAGGACTAGAAAATCCAGGCACCCTTTCCCTGAGTGGTACAGTATGTTAAGTCTAGCAGAAATTATCAGCCTAACTTTGGTGTTGGATGCAAACCTATGCCTCAGGATAGCACGTCCTGGATCATGTGGCAAAGAGCTGAACCCTAACAAAGCTTTTCATCAATCTTATTGCATTATTAAAAACAGATACATTTTGCAACACCCTCAGGCAAATGAGGTCACAATGTAAATGGTGATCCTGATGGTATATGCCAAAGAAATTACATTTGGGGCTGTTCCAGCCTCTTAGGAAAGAAACAATTCCCCATGTAATTGCCATTTTTTCTCATTTTGGCCATGGATACATAAGGGCACTGAAAGGTTTTTTCTTTTATGTCCTCAAATTGAAGCTTTACCAACTAATAGTGGAGACATTTTGATATCCAGATATGATGGAAGAAACAGTTATTTCCTCAGCGCCTGACAGGTGAACAGTATATCCCAAGCTGCTGTCATGCTTTATGCTGATGAACTACTTCAATGGCTAGGGAAGGCACAGTACCTGGAAATGCCTCACTTTCCCAGGTGATACGGGCATGTTCTTTTTGTGACTGATATGAAAGGTGCTTTAATAACACACTTTTAACTTTTTTTTCATTCAGCCTAGATAGAGCTGCAGCTATTTCGCAGGAAAAAATAGCTCATTTCTTACCTGTCCCGCTTAGTTAGCGTGTCATCCATGACCAAGACTGAGAATTTCACCTGGAGCTGCTGCTGACTGTTATACAATTCACAACAAAGTAAAAATTTTACAACCCAGTATTTAACCAGTATATTTACAATCCAGGATATATTTAACCCAGTTAAATATAGCTTTAATCAGCCATAAGCTCAGTGTCTCAGATATGATATGGGAAACAGCCAGATGTTGCTGCTGACAAGGCAGGAACATTGAAAACCTGTATGAAGTTGGAAGATATTGCTATGAGAAAACAGTGGCCTAGCATGCCAGTACCTGGAACATATCCACTGGGTAATATGTTTACATGAGTCTGCAGGGAAAAAAAATGCTCAGTATGGAGACCTGATCCTGGAGCTCCTGCTCAAAGTGCTAATTTGAAGCAGTATTTTAACTGGTGCTACTGAAACATATGATCCAGGAAACAACCTAATCACAAAAAACATAAATAAAATCAAGCTTTGTCAATTCTGCCTTTTGAACAGCAACTTGAGTAACTAATTAAACAAAGTAACTCCTCAAGGGAAACAGGTTGTCTTGGGACACAAACTCCTGAAAGACACTCTCTTTGAACAACCAACGCTGGAGATCAGCAATGAACACTGACTTTGAAACCTACAGAGAAAAATGTAAACAACCCACTGAGATGCAAACATCTAATTCATCCTCCTAGTGTTACCATTTTTGGCTGGCTATGAACTTAGGAAGCTGACACACTTGGTTCATATTTCCATTGTCATAATCAGTCACAAGAATAGCATTTCTTTTTCCCTTTTTTCTCCCCAGTAGGTTTTACAATATTTCATAGATTCACTGTCAAATTCTACTGCTCTTAAATTGGGATATAACTGAATGGATGAGTGGAGCTTTGCTACAGACTGATGACTGTTTATTAAGTGCTTCTCTGTTTTTCACTTACAGTGCACAATGAAAACCAGTCTCAAAGAACTAGCAATTTAAAAGGACCATGTAAAAAGATCCCATGACTTAATAGCTCTTTGTGAACTCAGTAAATTCGAATTACTTTTGCATTTTCTTCCTTATTCTAGGATCTTCTGTTCTGCTTGGCCATTTATGACTCCTTTGGCCAGTGACAGATGGATTTTGTTTCCTCGTTCCACGTACACTTCTCTCGTGAGGTTTACCCAGAGAATCAGGTGTGCCAAGAAGTAGGATCAGTCCTGTCATAGTAATTTATTGCAGCAACAGTATCTTCAGTTGATCAACATTAGACTTTCTCACAGTTCTTTCCTGTTTAGTTGCAAACCTGTTTAACCTGTAACCAGTGCAAAGCTGTTGCTTGCAGAAGTGAGGGACTCAAGAGGATTATGCAGATAGTCCCCCTATCTGGCCAGTTTAGACAAATCTTATAAGAAGTAGCGCCACTGAGATTAATGCCCACATTCACATGCTGGAAATACATTCTATATGTTATAAAAGCCAGGCTATATCCATGTTGCCTTTCAGGACTAATATCATAGTTCTGTGAGATTGTACCAGGAGAAACAGGAGACAAACATTTTGGCTATTGAAATGTAGCACTGGTTTGTAAGACTTACATCCTCCCCAAACCAGGTATAAGGCACAGATCCATTACAGAACTCCTAAACACTTCCCACGTGAGCAAATAAGGAGTGAATAGTTGTATTTGCATTCCTTAAATTTTCAATTTTCATTTTCTACCAAAAATATTTGTTTAAAATTTGGATCATGTTTCTTGAAACTTCTGCAAATCCATGAGCGTTTTTGTGCTTTTGCTTTTTTATATTCTTGGATTTCAACATCAGTTGTTCCCATGGTTATGTTCAATGCTGTTGTCTAAACACAGTCTGGTATTGCCTGAAGTGTGTTTTGGCACAATGGTTTCTGTTAAGTGATGTAGGTTTGGATTGTTTTGGTATGGTTTTGTCTTTCAGTATGTCAATACTTAAAAAAATGTGCTGAGACTGTAGCTTATTACACACACTACATCATAAACAATCATATTTCTCTTTTATTTTGCATGATCCAATTCTCATGTTTATTTCTGTTGTCTACAAGCACACTCGGCCGGTGCCATCTTTCCTCTATATGTATGTGATCCTTAGTTCAAAGAGGCCCTGACTCACTTCTGAGCTTTTAGTATTTAATTCAAAATTAACATGAAAAAAAATGGCATTTTTTATTTAACACCTCCCCTAGACATATATATTCTGACAGTAATTCCTTTCAGCATCAATCTTAAATACTGAAGTGGAGCTAATTAAAACCTTCTTTGTCCTTCAGATGTCTTTTTTGCTGTTGTGTGTGGATAATCACATACTAGCTTCTCACTTCAGTGGCCAAGCTAAATAAATGGAAAAGAATTTTGGTTTGGGTAGAACTTCAAACATTTAAGTCAATCCAAAAGAGTTTATTTTTACTTCCTTTTACGCATCATCCAGAAAATCAAATTTTAAATACAACTATAATTTTAAAACTATAGTTTTGTCCCGATTTTGCAGCAACAACATGCATAGACCTTGCCTGTATTGGTTTTGGGTCTCAAGAAAACTTTAAGTGGCATATGACTTTGTTAATAACTGATGTTCTGAGAGCATGTTTTTCAGAAAATCTAGTACTTGCTACAAATACATCTCCCTACTCTGCTGTGAATATAGATCAACAAGTTTTCTGCTTCTTCTAAGGAACAACGGATTGCAAGAGGGGGGAAAGCCGGCGCAGCCAGAGTTTATTTATTATCTGGAGTTTATTTATTATCTGCACTTCAGGGGATTAATTTTAAATTCAGCTTTGACTCTTCTGCCCAGCTGTCCTGCACATCCACGTCCTGGCAGCTCCTTCTGCTCAGAGCCAGCTTCGCCTGGGCCCGCAGCCCGAACGCTCCATGGCGGAGCTGCCCCGGGCAGCGCGCTCTGTGGCGGGCGGGCAGCGCCAGCCTTGGCCTCTGCCCGTTAAGTACGAGCTGCCTTCCCCGGGTCCTTTCTCCCCTTTAGCGGTGACGAACAGCAGCCAGCGGCACACCCGCTGCTCGGCGGGCTGTGCTTTCCTGCCCGGCCGTGCCGGCCCGCGGGTCCCAACACACCGCCCGCCCGCCCGCCGCAGGGAGACAAGATGGCGCCCGTCCCCTGCCGGCGGCCGCGCTCTGCACCCCTCCCCTCCTGCCCGCCGCGGAAAATAAAACCGTCCTCTTGATCTCTCCTGCCACGCAGTGGCTGCTGTGCGGAACTGTCGGGAAACCGTGTGTCAGACCTCGGATAAACCGGGAGGTTTGAGAGCAGATTTAATTCTCCCTGCCCCGTTTGGGTCAGTTCGAAGTGCGACTACCCAGCCCTTTACTCAGCCCCGGCTCCATCCAGCGTCGCACATCAACACAACCCCAGGCTCTTCCCCAGCTCCTCGGCTGTTCTTTCCTTTTTAGGGGGAAAATAAACAATAACAGTGATGAGTTTGGTTTGTTCTAACAGCGCTGTTATCTCTTAAAACTGACTGTCTGAGCACGGGGCCGGAGCCACACTGGAAAGTGCCGAGCGGCTCGTGCTGGTCTGAGGCGGCAGGACCAGGTGTGGCCCCCAAAACACTCCGTGCAGCAGGGCTGTCAAACCCACCTCCACTCTCTCAGGGTCTCTCCAGGTCCGGTGCCGATGCCTCGCAGTAGTGCTGAGCAGCACTGGGCTGTGTGGACTTGGCAAACTGCTTGTTAGCTCCAGGCTCTTAAATGGGGAACGGTGCTGGATCGTACCGGCACCACTCCAGGGATTGCTGAAGTTGAAACCAGAGACGACTACTATTAGGGAGCTGTAGACCAAAAAAAGCAATTCCAGTAGGTAAGGAAGTAGCCCTATATCCTCTTATAGATTATTCAAAGTGAAATAGGCCTTCTCAAATTAGTTTGGCAATTTCAGCACATGCAGGTGAGGGAACCTGCTGCTTCCTTTGTTGCAGAGGGTATGAATTAGGAATCTCTTTTGATCCAGTTCGCAGAACTGGATTTATGGTGCCACAGAGTCTTTGGTAAGGAGCCATCTGATGCATTTGTCTGATGAGCTGGAAACACACAGATTTCATCACTATTCTGACCCATTGCAGAACAGAGAAAGACTGGGAAGTGTTTCTCTTTACAAGCCCATTTTATCTTCCTAAAAGAGATACACAGAGAGATTACATTATGCTAGATCAAATTTACCCCACTGGCCAAGAAGGTTGTGAAGCCAATGTCTTGCTTTCCATCCCACTGCTAGTACTACTTGGCAGAATGAATTCCTGATCTTCCTTGAAAAGGAACTCTCTCTATTTAAGGTCAGAGAATGTAGTCAGGATAGTATTACTTTTCGTTTCTATGTCCAAGAAAAGTACAGTTTAAAAATATGGCTTGGTTATGCCATTTAATTTGCTGAAAAATATGAGTTTCCTTGTCACTTAAAAAGGAAAAAAGATGGCCCTATGCTTCCAACAATTCACATATGTAGGTACAAAACAGCTGATTTCTGGGTTGGCTGATTGACTTCTCCATCCTTCTAGGATCCAAATTGACAAGAGGGACACTTTCAATCATTTTTATCCTTGAAATAAACATTTAGAACCTATTGAAACCCTCTCTTTGGGTATTACTCCCTGAGCATCATTGCACTTATTCTATATTAGTAAGACATCTCTTTCATTGTCCATTGAAGCCAATGGCAAATTCCCCCTTGACTGACACAGTGGTCACAGATGAGGGCCAGGCAGGGAGCAGGCCTCTGTTCTGCCAAGTTTCAGCTAAAGACACAATAAAGAGGCAATACCTCTCCCAGAGAACTTACCATCTAAGATAAAATAATAATAATCTGCCATTTCTTACTGTTCCAAACAAACAGTTTCAGAGTTCATAAATTTCAAAGACTTCACTGCAAAAAAAATCTTCAGTTTTAACACAGAATCACAGACTGGTGAGAACATAACTGTGCCAATGCAGTTCGTCTCGGACATCGTGAAAGTTTTCCCTCCCTCATCTAATGATTACATTCCGGTGTTAGTTGAGAAACATCTATTAGCACTAGAATGAACTTCAGAAAAAATTCCTTTTTAAATGGGTGCACTAAGCCAAGCACTTCCCGTGTTGCTTCTGCTAATTCTGGAGCTAAGTGTATTTGAATAGAAATGTATCTCCTTAGTCTTTATTTTCTCATTTGGCTGAATCTACAGTAATCCTGTGTTCTATGTTTGCAAAATGAGAACTGCTGCTAGAGTTTTACTGCAGGGTCAAGTATGATGAAAAAGTATATTGACAGAAAGCTAAAGTCTTCTTAAAAGACAGATGTCTTAAATTTTACAGATGTCATCCATGTTCAGTAAATAGGGTGGGGGGCTGGATAGCTGATGAGATTGAAGATGAGTGATCAACCTTTCACTGTTAGACCACCTAAACAAGCACAGAACAGCGAGAATTACCAACTACAGGTTTGTATCTGGTTCTGTGAAATACGCTTGCTGGCCATGACCCATTTCACAGTGAACAAATTTGCACTTCTTAAAAACCTACAGCAACATAAGAACTCATTGCTTTATCACAAATATCAACTTATGCAAACCCTTTTTTCTTTCAGTAGCAGATCCTTTAGATGAGGTTCGGGAGAGAAGCATGTATTGTTCTTAGGCCACACCTTCTCTGCTGCTGAACAATTCAGGCCTTGGGAATGCAGAGAGCACCCAGTAGAAGCAAGAAATTTAGAAAATAGGAAGTCAGCCAAAACTAGTTTATGGAAACTTAAGGAGATTAGACTTGGGGATACCACTGACCTTAAGATTTCTGTGATGGGAAGGAGAGTGCTATTTACAGTAAGTATTTGGAAAGCTCTCACAGCTTCCTTAAGACTAAGAAATTAGTTTGGCAATATGGGCTGTGCTATGACCTTCTTTATCCTTCCTTATTTTGTAGTTTGTTCCAGTAGATGTTTGCCACAGATGAACAAAAACTTCCTGTTTTTATTACCCTGTATTTGAAGCTCTTGCCTTTGCAGCTCAGGAGGGCAGGGGAGAAATTTAGATATGCTGACACCATCACCTGTGAATAAGGCTTTCCTATGGGTTTGTGGTTTTGACCAGCTGGTACAATTGCCTGCAGTCATGTCAGCAGGATATTGCTGCACAGCTTTTTATGGCACAGTAACCTGTGTGTCCACACTTGGCTCTCCATGTTCTCCAAGGAGAAAATGCTGAGCATTCAGAGCTGACTAACGCTGTGATCTTTACTCATTGTCTATAGAAGGATAAATATGGCTATTTGTAAAAGAAATGGCATCTTTAAAAAGCAGGGGTGTTAGCTATTTTCTTTAGATTTTCTTCTTTGCCATGTCTGGCCTGGAGTATACAAAACCAACAAAGCCCTTCAGAGGGAATAAAGTGCCTCATACCAATTAAGAGTATGATCAGATGATTGCAAGCAGCTGTGTGAGGGTTGCCTCAGACACTGCAAACCCCTCCATTCAACTGGCTGTGAGCACATCTGACTGTTTGCAAGTGAAGTGATCCCCCAGGAGGAAAGATTGGCAGCAGGCAGCTCTGGTTGTCAACTTTTTTAAACTGCTACTGCTGGTCTTCACAGGGTCAGAAGTGAAATGCAGGTGAACTTAAGCTTTGTAGTGACTGAAGCCATTGAGGCAAGATTGCTGGTCCAAGGGGTGGAAGGAGACAGGGCCAATAGCCTTCGCTCTCAGGAGGATCCAGGTCTCAGGATGTCAGAATTACCAGTAGCAAATTTAAAATTTATCTTTTTTTTTCCTGTGCTAATAACTTTAATGTACATTAATGTACATTTGAGAGGCAGACCAGTGTTTTGATTTTGGTGATGACCACACATCATTTAAAAAGTAGATTTTCTTAGACATGGAATAATGAATTTTCTTTTATATGCCCATTCTTTATTGAAGTAATAATATTATTAAAGACTTGTTTAGTCTGTTGAGAGAAGTCACCACACAAACCAGTTTATGTTTTGGGGTTTACACAATTTTTGAACTGAAGTATGCAATTCATTGAACTGAACATAATTACTTAATTAAATGTGACTGTTAATAAGTGACGTCAAAATTTATGTTCAGTCATGTACTTGTCACACAGTTTTTCTATGAAAAATATACCTAGGAACATGCACTTGCACTTGGCATCTGAACATGGTCCTGGGCAACAAACTCTAGGTGGTCCTTCTTGAGCAGGGATGTTGGACCAGATGACCTTCAGAGGCGTGTTCCAACTCCAGCCATTCTGTGATTCTATAGTTGGAAGTCTTTAGGCATATTTTGAACATGCACTCAGCCTGTCATGACATTGACTGACTGCCAGTTTCTTTTCTGTACCAGCAGCAAGCTCAGCAGCTGTCAGTCTTGCACCCAGATTTTGGTTTTGAAACTTAAATCTCCACCTTGAAAATACATATTTGTCACCTTCAACTAATTGCAATCTATGACTTTCAATTTGATCCTCCATTTTCTCCACTCATAAATTTGTCCTAGTGCATAAAACACATTACTTTCAGTCCTAAAGTTACCATTTGCAAGTTACGATGTATATAAAGTTGTTCTCATTAAGATTGTGGCCTCTATGATCCCTGACTTGTTGCAGCGTATCTGCTTTCAAGGAAAAAACTGTGTGTACAGAGAATTTAACTAATTATATATTATTCATCTATGAAGTCTGTGAAGTGTTTGATTGGTGTAATTGCAATGGAAGGATTGCAGAAGACTTCTCAAGGTAAAACATATCTTTTTCCATCTTTTTCAAAGAAAACCAGCTGTTATTTATATGGCATAAATGAGGAGAATAATATGGAAATGAGAAAGAAGTTTCTACTGATGTATAACTCTGCAGGGCTTGCTCCCAACAGAGATCATGAACAACACCCATTTTTGCATCTTCAAAATAAAACAGGACGGGTGACACTCAGTTTTTCCCAGTGCATGTTTGATTAGCATGAGTTATAAATTAGTTTTAAGAACAGTGTTAACACAATTGTTTCACTAATTCTCTGTGTAGCCAAAGAACATGTGGGACTATGTAGATACCCTATCTGTCATTTATTCTCTGTCTTGTCTGCTAGACATCTTTGCAATTCTCTCAAAATTAGAGGCCAGTACAAGAGAAACACATTTAAATAAGGCTTCATCCACTCTCATCCCTTCATTCCTGATAGAGTATTTTGAAGTTCAGTGCTAGAGTAAGAAACTTGGTGGTAGCTAATTGAAGGTGAGGTGACTAATGGCAGGTGGCAGTTATTTATTTTAGAGGTGAGTTGCAAAATACAAACAAGTATGTAGTGAGAAGCTAGAAGCTGAAACTTTCAGGTGGATAGATGTACTGAATGTGTTGCACAGAAAAGAATGAGTGCTCTAAGCACTAATGGTTTCATGATCTTCTGCATTGTATCATTGTAGCTGCTTGGGGGAATTAAATACAGAACAAACACGAAATTCAAGTTTGGGTTGTCTAAGTAGCTCCCTGTAATTTCTGTAAAGTTTGAACAGCTCTCATAACAGAGAAATTATTTCCAGTGTGTAATGTCTAAATATCATTAAATTCCTTTCACTTTGTCAAAAAAAAATGGGTGAAAATCAGTGAAAGTTAGTCCTAATTCAGATACCTCTTGAAGACATTTATGATCCTAGAACTATCGAATGTCTTGAGTTGGAAGGGACCTTCCCTGGAGCAATCTGGTCTAGTGAAAAATGCCCCTGCCTATGGCAGGGAGGGTGGAACT